TTCAGATTTAACGGGGGCTAGGTTTTTGAAAAGAAAAGACGGCGCTTTGCCGCGGGTAGAAGAGACGCTTGCGAGCTATCTCTCTTCCGAGGCTGCATTGTCATTTAAAGCACCGGCATTACCTTCCAAGCCATTATGAAATATTTCGGCTTTGTAAAGTGTATTTGGCGGCAGGTCAGGCTGCGTCGTGTCTGCATACAATGTCTATATTGCAGGCATACCAGGCTGATTTGCTAAAGGACGTGAGCGTGAGTGAGGAGGCAGTACTGACGTGGTTCGAGAACTGCGTCAGGCTGCCGATTTGTGGTAAAATGATTTTTTCCAACATGAAACAGAAAGAGAAAGCTTTCTTTTAGATGATCCACTCTCCCCTGCGGGGTTATTCAGTGACTTAGTTAATACTTTCATTGATAATTTCAAGAAGAAAAGAAGCAGGCAGCAGCGTTTAAAAGGTTTCTTCCATTAAAAGTTCACGTCCACGGGGCTGCTGGGCGGGAGCAGCCCCAGCCGTCCACGAGCTCATCGCATAGGCGCAGCAAAGCAGAGTATCGCGTCTCGCGCTCCCCCTGCTGGACAGTGGGACCAGACGCGGCACTCTCAGCCAAAGCTTTTTGAAAAATAAATATAATATAATATATATATATATATATATATATATATATATAAAAAAAAGCAATAGAACTGTTTTGAGGACAGTTATATTGGTTATGCTGAGGGCGGTCTCCACCGAGGGAGAAAGGTGTTCACCTCTTTTTACGGTGCCCATTCTTCCTCGGTGCCCTCAGGGGCCCGTTCTGCCAACCCCGCCTTCATGCCGGGGCGCAGACGGTCCCGGCGAGCGCTTTCCCGAGGGACGCTCGCCGCCTCTGACACTGAGGGTGGTCCCCATCGAGGGAGAAAGGTGTTCACCTCTTTTTACGGTGCCCATTCTTCCTCGGTGCCCTCAGGGGCCCGTTCTGCCAACCCCGCCTTCATGCCGGGGCGCAGACGGTCCCGGCGAGCGCTTTCCCGAGGGACGCTCGCCGCCTCTGACACTGAGGGTGGTCCCCATCGAGGGAGAAAGGTGTTCACCTCTTTTTACGGTGCCCATTCTTCCTCGGTGCCCTCAGGGGCCCGTTCTGCCAACCCCGCCTTCATGCCGGGGCGGAGACGGTCCCAGCGAGTGCTTTCCCGAGGGACGCTCGCTCCCTCTGAGGAGGGTCTCAGAGCAGTCAAACCAGTTGTTCCCTGCCGGTGCGTCGTTACAGGGCGCTGTGTTTGCTGCTCAAATTACACCAGAGACCAGTCTCGAGAGACTGGTACCCTTAGTAGAATTTGTTTGGCAGAGTGGAAAAGCCTTCCAAGAATATCTCAGTGGGTCCTGCAGACAGTAGTAAGAGGTTATGCGATCCAATTTAGGTGTCGTCCACCGAATCTCAGAGGGGTTCTGCCCATAGTGTGGGCCCCGAGCAGGCTCTGGTAATGGAACAAGAGGTTAAAACGCTCCTTCAAAAGGGGGCTATAGAACGGGTTCCTCCTCCCAGTTTGGAGCTAGGTTATTACAGCCGATATTTCATCGTTCCAAAGTAGGATGGGGGGTTGCGTCCAATTTTAGATTTGCGCCTATAAAATCGCTCGGTAGGGAAGCTCAATTCAAGATGCTCACTATCAAGCAGGTCGTGTCACAAATCAGGTCCGAGGGCTGGTTTGTCACGATAGATCTAAAGGACGCTTACTTCCACATTTCCATACTTCCACAACACAGGAAGTTCCTGAGGTTTGCCTTCGGGGGCGAGGCATTCCAATATAGGGTTCTTCCGTTCGGTCTAGCTATCTCCCCGTACTTTACGGAGCAGATGGCGGTTCGACATCGAGATGTCGTCCTCGCGCATATCAGGAAGTTGGGGTTGAGGCTGAACGCGAAGAAAAGTGTTTATCTCCTTCCCTGGAGACCACTTTTCTGGGCATTGTTTGGGATTAGGTCACCCGCATCGCTTCGATTCTTCAGCCTTGAAACAGTAAAGCTAGGCCAGCTACTCACTGTAAAGCAGTTTCAGAAACTGTTGGGTTTGATGGCAGCAGTGTCCAACGTTATACCTTGGCCTGTTGTACATGAGACCGCTGCGGTGGTGGCTCAGGACCAAGGGATTCTACCCGAGGGGAAATCCACTCCACACGATCAAAGTCACGCAGCGCTGCCTTCGTGCTCTGGTCTTGTGGAAAGAAACTTGGTTCCTATCCAAAGATCCTGTGCTGGGGGCTCTTTGTCGTCGCGTAAGCTAACGACGGATGCTTCCCTCACAAGGTCGGGGGCGGTCATGAGTGGTCGTCCAGCCCAAGGTCTGTGGCAGGACCATCATCTATCATGGCATATAAATTGTCTAGAGATGTTGGCAGTGTTTCAGGCTCTGAAACAATTCCTAGCAGACCTGAGAGGTCATCATGTGCTAGTTCAGTCAGACAACACGTCGGTGGTCTCTTATATAAATCGTCCGGGGGGCCTGCGGTCTGGCCGGCTTTACAAGTTGGCCCGTCAGGTCCTCCTGTGGTCCCTAGGGAAGTTACTATCACTGAGAGCAATGTATCTTCCTGGGTATTTGAATGTGGTAGCGGACTCTCTGTCGAGGCAGGGGCCGAGGCCGGGGGAATGGAGACTCCACCCCCGAGGTGGTGGAGCTCCTTTGGTTGAGTTTCGGTCGCGCCGAGGCGGACCTATTCGCTTCCAAGGAGATATCGCACTGTCGTCTATGGTTCTCCATCAGTCATCCAGCCCCTCTGGGGTTGGACGCTATGGTGCAGCCGTGGCCGAGGTCACGTCTGTACGCTTTTCCCCCGATTGCTCTGCTACCAGGAGTTCTGGAGAGGGTTCGCCGGGACGGGGTCAGCCTACTATTAGTGGCCCCGTTCTGGCCGGCCCGAGTATGGTTTGCGGACCTGTTTTCTCTCCTGGACGGCTCTCCTTTGGAGCTCCCGGTCAGGAGAGATCTACTCTCTCAGGCGGGCGGCATGATATTTCACCCCCGCCCAGAGTTATGGAAACTGTGGGCTTGGCCTCTGAGGGGGCCCAGCTCTTAGATTCCGGTCTCTCAACCGAGGTTGTTGAGACCATCCTTCACTCCAGAGCTCCATCCACGAGGAAGCTATATGCCTTTGAAGTGAAAACTTTTCACTTCTTGGTATGGACAACACCTGTAGGACCCAGTTAACTGCCCAGTGGGTGCAGTGCTGGAATTCCTGCAGGAGCGTTTCTCCACAGGGTTATCCCCCTCCACACTAAAGGTGTATGTGGCGGCACTGGTTGCTTACCACGTCCCTTTCAGTGGAGTTTCTCTTGGGAGACACCCGCTTATTTCCTTCGTGGCACTTTGAGGCTGAGGCCAGCAGTTCGTGCCTGGAATTTTCGCCTGGTGTGCTTAAGGCTTTTCTATACCCTAGGCCAGGTTATGTTCCTAAGGTCCCTACTAATGTTGTTAGACCTACAGTTCTGCAGGCTTTCTGTCCTCCTCCATTTCTGTCATCAGACCAGGAGAAACTTAATTTGCTCTGCCCAGTGAGGGCGTTAGACGCTTATGTCCACAGAGCTGCTCTGTGGAGGAAATCAGAACATTTATTTGTATGTTTCGGGCCACCCAGGAAAGGGTGTCCTGCGTCTAAATAGAGAATGAGCAAGTGGGTGGTCGAGGCTATCTCACGTGCTTATGAGTCGGCTGGTCAGCCTTCACCTTTGGCTGTACGAGCCCGCTCTACTAGGAGTACGGCTGCATCCAAAGCTTTATTGTCAGGAGTTTCCCTGAGTGAGGTTTGTGATGCGACTGGATGGTCTTCACCGTGCAGGTGCTCTCGTCCGCTGTGCGCTAGATCTCACATGACGGTCACTTGCTCCTATGGCGACGTGGGTATTCGCGTTCCCACAGCGTTTGACGCAGCTCGAAGTTCCCTTGAAAGGGAACGTCTCGGTTACGTATGTAACCCTAGTTCCCTGATAGGGAACGAGACGCTGCGTCGTTCTGCCATACTCCCGGCATTCCCGTTAAGCGCTCCTTCAGGCCTATCAGAAGCTGATGCGCTTGTGTTTTTGGGGTGCTTTATAGTTTCCTGGTCGATGACGTCACCCGCCTATGACGTTCCGTCTCTCCATTGGGCTGATTCCATACGTGCTTCATGACGCACAACGCAGGGGCGTTCCCATAGCGTTTGACGCAGCGTCTCGTTCCCTATCAGGGAACTAGGGTTACATACGTAACCGAGACGTTTTTGGTACTCACTGATACAGATACCGTAACCGATATTTTATATTATACCTGTTTTTTAATACATTTATAATGTTAATTGTACAGAAATATGTATTGGTATTACTAGCATTAGTTGGCTTAATTTGTTCACCAAATATATATTTCCTCAATTATTTTCATGCTTAATTAAGTCTGCTAAGTGTGATTACGTAATGTGTGGCGCATCACAGCTAGTGCAAGACCAGCATTTGTGGTTAAAAAGTATATAAATGTTTGTTTTTATATATGATGGCCGATGGTTTGTCTAGATAAGACTCTTATTCCTCGGCTGGGATCGTGTCGAGACTTTAAAGCTGCACTGAAACTGATTAGACCGTCCAACCCGTTGGACCCCATTGAAATCACTATTATGGAAAAAAATCCGGGAATGTTTTCCTCAAAAACCTTTTCGACTGAAGAAACAAAGACATGAACATCATGACGTGGGGAGAGTAAATTACCAGGATTTTTTTAATTCTGAAGTGAAATACTCCTTTAAATGTGCATCAATTTAAAACATTTACACTATTAAATTACTAACATATGGTAATGTTAGTTATCAATATTTTTCAGATAATTAGCTATTGAAAGAGTGTAACATTTTTCTCCTTTCGCCTGCTTTTCATGCATTTGTTAACCATAGTGGGAGATTGTATACAGTTTATGAAATACTTTTGAGTACATTTTGGCCCTGTTCAGCAGATTATTACTAATATAGTTACAAAAGTTGTATGATGATGCTAATTAGTCATGGTTTTGCTTCCAGGTTGTGCTGTTTGCAGCGCAACAAAATCAACTGGCATCCTCACAGAAAAAAGAGTGTCCATATCTGAGGAGTGGGTGCACTTTAAGATCCAGTCCTCAAAGGCAAACAGGTCAACATCTCTGGCTTCTTTGAGGAACAAGATACGACGACATGAGACATCCAAGGCACACAAAATAGCTCAGGAGCTCACTGAAAAGGGTGGACAGGATTTACTTGGAAATTTGGTGAGTTCTATGTCAGAGACTGTGTTTGCTGAGACAGATGCTATATTCAGAACAGCATACTATCTTGCGAAAATGAACCGACCTTTCAATCTCATTGAGCTTCAGGAAAAAAATGGTGTCAACATGGGTGCTAGTCTGCACTCAAGGTACAGTTCTACAAAAATTGTGGAACACGTAGCAAAAGAGATGCAGAAAAAAATAGTTCACAGTTTTGTGTCGTCTTCAAGTAAGTTGTCTGTTCTCATTGACGAGGCTACATCTCTTAGCCACAAATCTGCCATGATTGTCAACTTGAAAGCCTCAGTAGATGGAGCTACTCCTGAATTTGTGTTTCTGGAGCTGGTTGAGCTGGAGAGCCAAAGGGCAGGGGATATAGAAAAAGCCCTTCTTGACTGTTTGGACACTGCAGGCTTCAGTGAAGAGTGGCTTCAAAAGAACTGGGTCTCATTTGTTTCAGATGGAGCTAGTGTCATGTTAGGCAAGAACTCTGGTGTGGCAACCAGGCTGACTGCAAGGTACCCTAACCTCTTCACATGGCACTGCATGAACCACCGTTTGGAACTGGCTGTATCTGATGCTGTGGATGAGGTTCAGGCAGTCAACCACTTCAAAGTGTTCATGGAGAAGATCCATAATCTCTACAGTCAGTCCAATAAAAATTCACGGGAGCTTCTGGAAGCAGCGCAAGAAGTGGGTTCACAAGTCCTGAAAATTGGCAGAGTTTTAAGTACGCGATGGGTGGCCAGCAGCTTTCGCTCTGTAAAGGCTGTGTGGAGGTCGTTTGAAGCATTTAACAGACACTTTGAAAATGCTGCAGGAGACCAAACAAGAAACGGCAAAGAGAGACAAACTTACAGAGGACTGGCACGTCGTATGCAAAGCAAGGAATTTCTGTGTGACCTTGGACTCATGTACGATGCACTGTCTGAACTTGCAAACCTGTCTCAGCAACTCCAGGCGCATTCAATCACACTCTTGAGAGCAGACCAGCTTCTGAAGTGCACCATAAGAGTGCTGGCATCATTCAAAGACACCCCAGGAGAGAAATCAGAGGAGGCACTGACAGCACAGGGTTTAGGACATTTTGGATCAGTTCCCCTGGAGTCAAATGCAAAGCTCACACCAATCAATGCAAAGCAGTTCCTACAAAGTCTGATCAACAACATGGAGAAGCGCCTCTCATTTGAAGGTGAAATGCTTCATGATCTCAGCGTTTTGGATACAGGCAACTGGCCGTCAACACCTGGCATACGGCATGGTGAGGCAGAAGTGAAACGACTGTGCAGGCGGTTCAATCTTTGTGAAGAGCAAGCAGTTAATGGTATGAGAGATTTCCTTGAGCACCCAGACAGTGAGCCTGAAAGCCTAAAACCACTCATACGATGCATGCAGGCCATCCCTTGCAGCACTGCTGAGTGTGAAAGGGACTTCAGTCTCATGAACAATGTATGCACGGAAAGAAGATCTACACTGCTGTTGTCTAATGTTACTAATTTGATGATGGTCAGCATCAATGGGCCTCCTGTAAGACTTTTTGAGCCAAGGAAATATGTAACAACATGGCTGAAAAGCCATCGCTCTGCCACGCAAGCAAGGAGGCAATGCACACCTCAGATGCCTGTGTACAAACAAATTTGGAAAGCTCTGTAGACTACCAGGCTAATACCCCCTACCACTCTCCGTAGTGACTTAGTGATCCCACTCCTCCCCTTCTGTCAGTGTTCAGTTCTTTTTCCACGACCCGTGGAGTAACACAGTGAACCCAGTATGGATTCATATGACAATGTTAAGTTGTTAATTCATGTTAATTCACATGACAATGTTAAGTGCCTTTTCAGCCGCCTTTCTTTTATTGAGGTAAAGCTTATTTGTCAATTAACCTTGTTTGTGTTTTCTTATTTGAAGCTTATTTGTCTTGTAGCAGTTCCTGGATGCTTTCTCATGCATTTAAAGGCATAGTAGTACGCCCAAAAACAAACGTTTTGTTGTCATTTACTGACCCTTATGTTGTTTTAAACCTGTATACATTTCTTTCTTCTGTTGAACACAAAAGAAGAAATTTTAAAGAATGTTGGTAACCAGACAGTTGTTGGCACCCATTGACTCCCATAATATTTTTTTTTCCTACTATGGAAGGCGATGGCTAATATAAAAGGAAGAATATGTTACAGATTTTAACTGGTTAATTTATGCAAACAGTAAAATAGAAAATCAGTCCAGTCTCCCCAGCTGTAAATGTCATTGGCTGACATGTTGATAACACATAAGCAGAATCTTTCAGAATGCCCTCAATCACATGTAGTTACACACTGTATGCATTAGTGAGTGTGGTGGTGCTTATGGGGTGTCGCTCTGGGACGAGTGAGTTAGAGGCTAGGAGGGAAAAATCACAGTATACTCACTACAAAAAAACGTCTCGGTTACGGATGTAACCCTCGTTCCCTGAGTAGGGAACGGAGACGTTCCGTCGGATGACGACGAATGGGGGTTTCGCTTAGAAAGCCTATCGACTTCGAGTATACAAAACGAGCCAATGGCAAGCAAATGCCATGGGTCTGCGGAATTTGCATGGCGCAACTCCGCCCCACCTCGTGGGAATAAAAGGAGAAAGCCGGCAATATGCAGATATGTTTCTTCGCTGAGGAGCCAAGACTGAACTCGGCTGTTCCAGCGGTACAGCGGAAGTGGCAGGCAGACGGAACGTCTCCGTTCCCTACTCAGGGAACGAGGGTTACATCCGTAACCGAGACGTTCCCTTTCGTTGTCACTCCGAGTTCCGTCGGATGACGACGAATGGGGATACCAGTCTAATCACGCCACCTTCTCAGCTGTCTTCCAGTGCCCTGCGTAATCTGAGATCCCTGTCGTGAGACTAGCACGGACAAAGGACTCCTATTTAGCACAGGAATACCAAGGTACACTGGGGAGCATATCCCAGGTTTTGAGGGGAATATGCAATTACTGCCAACCCAGAGGGGGGGGACTTAGAAAATACACATATGACCCGAAGGATGCATATGGGGAATCACTGGGGTGTCCAGCCGCAGGTGGAATATTTCAACCCCAGGGGTGGTAAGGTGGCTTGCCGAGGGAAAGACACATGCTCAGAGAGGCTTACAGTGGAAATACACATGTGGGGGTAGCTCAGAGGAGGTACCATGCACACGGAAGGCACCTAGCCGACGCGCAGGCAATAGACACTGGCGCCAGCGTCAGCAGTGCTGGAGGAGCTCAGGGCTTTCGGGGAAGCTCACCTGAGGAAATATCGCACGTATCCAGTCCGTGGAGTGGAATGGCGAGCAAGCGAAGACACCTAACGGGTCCCATGTTAGCTTGAAAAAGACAGTACATGGGAGGAGACTGGCTCCACTCGGAGATTGTAAAATCTGGCGAATGTGTTAGGTGTCGCCCAGCCTGCAGCTCTGCAGATGTCTGTTAGCGAGGCGCCATGCGCTAAAGCCCAAGAGGACGCGACACTCCGGGTGGAGTGTGCGGTCACACCAAGGGGGCACGGTTGACCTTGCTGCTGGTATGCCAAAGCAATGGCGTCCACTATCCAGAGAGACAACCTCTGCTTGGAGAGAGCCTTTCCCTTCAGCTTCCCACCATAACAGACAAAGAGCTGGTCTGAGGTCCTGAAACACTGCGTTCTGTCTACATAGATGCGAAGAGCACGTACTGGACAGAGCAGTGCCAAGGGCCCGGAAGGGAGTGGTAGGAACCTTGGGCACATATCCAGGCCGGGGTCTCAGGATCACGTGAGAGTAACCCGGCCCGAATTCCAAGCACGCTTTGTCAACGGAAAATGCGTGCAGGTCCCCTACCCTCTTGATGGAGGCCAGTGCAGTCAGAAGCGCTGTCTTCATTGACAGGAAGTTAAGCTCGACCGACTGCAAAGGCTCAAAGGGAGCGCTGCGCAGGGCAGTTAAGACCACTGCGAGGTCCCAAGAGGGTACGAGAGGAGGGCGAGGAGGATTCAGTCTCCTTGCTCCCCTCAGGAACCTGATGATCAGGTCATGCTTCCCCACAGACTTACCTTCTATCGGGTCATGATGTGCGGCAATAGCGGCGACATAGACCTTGAGGGTGGAGGGAGACAGCCTTTGCTCCAACCCTTCTTGAAGAAAGGAAAGCAGAACACTGATCGAACATCTCCGGGGGTCTTCTCGGTGAGAAGAGCACCAGTTGACAAAGAGGTTCCACTTCAACGCATAGACGTGTCTCGTGGACAACGCTCTAGCGGAAGTGATGGTAGCCACCACCGCTGGTGGTAGGGTACTCAAACCTGCCTCGTCCCGTCCAGGAGCCACACGTGGAGGTTCCAAAGATCGGGACGAGGGTGCCACAGGGTGCCCCGTCCCTGAGAAAGGAGGTCCTTCCTCAGAGGAATCGGCCAAGGAGGTGCTGTCGCGAGGAGTATGAGTTCGGAGAACCAGGTCCGGGTGGGCCAGTACGGCGCGACCAGAGTGACCTGCTCCTCGTCCTCCCTGACCTTGCGCAGGAATTGCGCAAGAAGGCTCACTGGGGGAAACGCATATTTGCGGCCCTGCGGCCAGCTGTGCGCCAGTGCATCCATGCCGAGCGTGCCCTCGGTCAGGGAATAATACAGGGCGCAATGGGTCGAGTCGTGAGAGGCAAACAGATCTATCTGTGCGTCCCCGAACTGGTCCCAAATCAGCTGAACCGACTGGGGATGGAGTCGCCAATCTCCCGGGAGGGGCTGAAGCCGTGAGAGCTCGTCGGCTTCACAGTTCAGGGCTCCGGGGATATAAATGGCAAGAAGCGACCTCAGATGCTTCTGACTCAATAAGAGGAGGTGGCGGGCGAGTTGCGACATACGGCGGGAGCGCAGACCACCTTGACGGTTGATGTACGCTACGGTCGCGGTATTGTCTGAACGGACTAGTACATGCTGGCCCCTGAGCACGGCTCGGAAGCGGCGCAAGGCGAGCTGTACAGCCAGCAACTCGAGGCAATTGACGTGCCACAGGCGGTGGGGTCCTGTCCAGGAGCCCGCGGCAGCACGTCCATTGCACATGGCACCCCAGCCCGTGGTAGAGGCATCTGTCGTTATGACAATATGCCGGGAAGCTCGTTCCAGGGGCACTCCGGCCCGTAGAAAACTGAGGTTCGACCACGGGGTGAAGGTCTGACGGCAGGTCGGAGTAACTGGTACTCGGAGAGTGCCGTGTTGCCATGCCCACCTCGGGACTCGGTCGCGAAGCCAAAGCTGAAGCGGTCTCATATGAAGTAATCCGAGCGGGGTTGCCACGGCTGCGGATGCCATATGCCCCAGGAGCCTCTGAAAAAGTTTCAGTGGAAACTTACGAGTGCGCGCGCGCGCGCAGTCACTGCTGACTTGCCTGAGACAGTTCGAGGGCAAGAGTGCGGACTCTTGCCCTCGAACTGTCTCAGGCAAGTCAGCAGTGACTGCGCGCGCGCGCGCACTCGTAAGCTGCGCAGACATGGCGACCGAGTCGATCTCCATACCGAGAAAAGAGATCCTCTGCACGGGGCAAAGTTTGCTCTTCTCCCAGTTGACCCGAAGGCCCAGACGGGCTACGTGGCGGAGCACCAAGTCCCTGTGTTCGCAAAGCTGATCTCGAGAGTGAGCTAGAATTAGCCAGTCGTCGAGGTAATTCAGAATGCGAACCCCGTGTTCCCGGAGGGGAACAAGGGCTGCCTCGACGACCTTCGTGAAGACGCGAGGAGACAGGGCTAGCCCGAATGGGAGAACTGCGTACTGATATGCCTGCCCCTCGAAAGCAAACCGCAGGAACGGTCTGTGTCGAGGGAGAATGGAGACATGAAAGTAGGCGTCCTTCAGGTCGATCGCTGCAAACCAATCCTGGTGCCGCAAACATTCGAAAACGCGTTTGGCGGTGAGCATCTTGAACGGCAGCCTGTGAAGGGAGCGGTTCAGAACGCGCAGGTCCAGGATTGGCCGTAACCCACCGGTTTTCTTCGGGACAATGAAGTACGGGCTGTAGAAGCCGGTCCTCATTTCGGCTGGAGGGACAGTCTCGATCGCACCCTTCGCCAGCAGGGTGGCAACCTCCGCTCTCATGATAGGGCCATTGCCACCGACCATAGTGGAGCGGACTCCCCTGAAGCGGGGAGGAGACCGCGCGAACTGAATCGCGTAGCCGAGCCTGATCGTTCGTGCGACCCAGCGGGACAGGTTGGGAAGCTCTAGCCAGGCTCCCAAGGACTGTACCAGCGGGGTCACGCGAACCACAGACTTCCCCTCGGTGGAGCAGCGAGGCGGTATGGCTGACCCAGACGTGGACGACATAGCGGCCCGGTGTGAGGGTACAGTCATAGACCGCAGAGTCCTGACAGAGGAGACCAGGGAAGGACGAACGTTCCACGGGGGTCTACTCTGCCAGGGGTCTGGCGACAGAGGAGGATGAGAGCGGCACGGTCCGGGGACGGCGCGCACTGTCATCCGGCTCTGGGACAGAGGAGGACGAGGGGTGCACGGCCCGGGGGCGGCGCACCGTGTCGTCCAAGAACTCTGTGTGCTTAGAGATGGGAAGTCAGCTCTCTGGAAAAAGAGGTTCTCCCCCGGCCCTCCACCGGGGAAAGGAGTGGCCCTGCAACCACCTCCTGGAGAACTGCAACCTATCTCTGAGCTGCCCGTAACGGAG